TTTCAAGATTTGAATTTAGATTTAGAAGAGGGGAGAAGAGAGAGACATACAAATCAGGACTCTTTTGTGTGTCCATTACTGCGGCGACGGGAATACCGAAGTTGGAGACTGGACCCCAGAAATCTGATCATAGTGTTAGAAGATAATCTCATGTATATATTCCATACGCTCTATGAGATTCCGGAGCTGCGAATGCCAAATCTGGATTTTGGAATCCGAGTTTCTCTAACCCGTCAATTTCCCACCCATTCTCCTGATCCTCACACTCAATCTTTCCCAACACTGGAATCAACTTTCACCTCCTCAGCCCACTTCTGATTCCTTCACGCAGCTCTCAATTTGATCCTGCCAATGCCCATCCATCCCGAAACCCAGCTCTCTCCCTCCTACCCTCTTTCCCGGTTTAAAAAGATTAGAAGAACTTACGGGTAGAACAAACATAGCTAACCGCAGGGTTACTACGAATCTTCGCATTAATTGCTTTGACCAACGCAGCCATCTTGAATATTTTTCGAGGTATTCTGGATGGTGAAGTGATTGTTGTTGTTTGGTTACCCAGCTGCCAAAAGAGGTTTTGATGGGACGGACGGAACAACGTGCTGGGATCGGATTTACCCTGAATTTGTCCGAGAATTATATTTTGATGTAGTGTCACGTGGTGACGGGACTGGATTTGAATGGGTGAGTTTTAGGGGAAAATGAGAAGAGAAGATGGTAAGATTAAATCAATTTAATGATGTGAGTGAGAACTACAACACCTGCATTGCGAGAATGAGCAAAATTATATAGAATTCAATTAGCGTTGTCGCTTTGCTTGCTTGCTTTTATGCTACAAATTTGCGAATTTTGGTATGTGAAGTCAAAAGCCACCCCTCAACGCCTTTATTCAGATTGAATTTAACCTTCTCTGCATTGCCCCTATCATGCATGTCCATGAGTTTCCTTTGGATCTCTCTTCTCTTATTTCTTTACCGATCATCATGTTCAATATGCCTTGACCATTCATCAGATTACATGCAGCTTGCTCCTCTGAGAATATTCTTTAAGATTCAATTTGAAACGATCGTGTAACCCATTGTTCTTCAGATATCTATCTGCGAGGTGGAGCAAAACCTCCTGGTGGACCAGGTGGACCAGGGAAACCTGGAGGAGGAAATCCACCACCAAATCCTGGAGGTGGTGCACCTCTTCCAAATGGCGGAGGAGCTGGCATACCCGGGAAACCACCAATTCCAACAGCAGGACCAGCCAAGCCCCCTCTTCCAGCAGCTGGTCGCGCGATTCCAGTTCCAGCGGCCATAGCAGCTGATGGTACAGCACCACCTGGGACGCTGGCACCTAAACGAGAACTTGGATCTGCTGGTGGTGGTGATTCGACAGAAAGAGATATGACGTGTGTGCCTCGAATAATAGTAAGACCTAATGTACGCTTTTCTTCGGTTTCAACAAGAGGTGGTGCAGTGGAACTAGCTCCAGGAGCAGCTGTACTTTTTGGTGCCTTGCGCTTGACGCGTCTGAATTCTTCGGTATCGGCGAGAACGAGGTTCATGTGCTATTGAATAGTTAGCATGACCCATTGTGATTGATGCATAGGAATTCGACCTTATCAAATGCTAACATCTGTCCGACCATTTGACGCCCATCATTCATAGTCACTCTCATCCGGTAGTTGATCTATAACTCAATCAGTCCACATCTCAGGTCGAAAGGGTCGCGCAAAGCTGCAATGGCTGCATTGAAGGATATCACATACGAGACCGGCCTGTAGAAAGAGTAAATGTCAGCCTATAATGTCAACACAAGCTTGTAATGGTTTTAAGAAGGGGGTTTTAAACTCACCATCTTTCCCTGCTTGTTCGCCATGATGATGACTTTTGAGTGCGCGTTATTACGGCTCTCTGGGTTTCAAAGAATGTGTATAGAAGTTCGATGACTTCTTTTGATTTCACAGCTCTATTATGAGTATATGAGTTCTTGATATGAGGTTCTTCAAGATTGTACAAGGCTGGCTCGAGCTTCAAATGAAAAAGTATTGAAGCCTCAAACACGAGGCCACACAAAATGATTACCTAAACATCGTCGCCCACCTTTTAGGGTTTGCGCACTTATTAGCGAATATAACTTTTTGGACCTTTTCGAATTTCTTTTTGAATTTGACGATCCACGACGAAAAACGACAATTCCCCACGACTAATCGTAACAGCATCATTCAAAATGGCTGCATCCGGAGAGAAGACCGCAAACCCCATGAAGGAGCTTAAAATCCAGAAGCTCGTTCTCAACATCTCCGTCGGAGAATCTGGTGACAGACTTACCCGTGCTGCCAAAGTTTTGGAACAATTGAGTGGTCAAACCCCAGTTTACAGTAGGCATCCACCAATTACAGCAATGATTCGTTGGGAAATTCCTTTAACATTTAAACCACAGGCAAGGCCAGATACACTGTCCGTACCTTCGGTATCCGTCGTAACGAAAAGATCGCTGTTCACGTCACCGTCCGTGGCCCAAAGGCTGAGGAAATTTTGGAGCGTGGATTGAAGGTCAAGGAATATGAGCTCCGCAAGCGCAACTTCTCTGAGACCGGTAACTTCGGTTTCGGTATCTCCGAACACATCGATCTCGGTATCAAGTACGACCCTGCGATCGGTATTTACGGAATGGATTTCTACGCCTGCATGACCCGCCCAGGTGAGCGTGTTGCCAAGCGTCGTCGCTGCAAGACCTCCATTGGTGCCAACCACAAGATCAAGCGTGATGAGACCGTCAAGTATGTGTTCACCGAAGAATTTAATGTCAATGATTGTGCTAACATTTCAACTTAGATGGTTCAAGAACCGTTTCGAGGGTATCGTCAGATAAGCGTTTCAATCAAAAAAATATGGCATGGGCTTCTAGTGTATCGATTCGGCGAGTTCTTTAGGATTTTGTCGTAACGTGGGCTTATGGAGTTATTGACAGGAAAACAAGGGGCATCATTGGTTGTACTTTACTGCATCTACGGATCAGATTACAATGAAGCAGTTCATCCAACTGTTCAGCTTGCTTCCTATTCGGATCAAGTCTGCGGCCTTAGAGACCGACCGGCTTGCCGGCTTTTCTTGCAAGTGCTGATTGCATATTTGTGATATGAAATAAAACAAAATTCACACCAACCTCACATTTTAACTTGCTTGTTATTGGTGATATTCTGAACAGACTGGTGTAATATCGCGGGTACTGGTACTGGAGCAAAGCGATGGAAGATATGAGCCAAGTATGGCGTTTTTTTGCTTCAGCGCATTGAGAAACAAGAGTGTGAGATTCTAGATTGCTCTAGATTCATTGATGGATGTGCAATAGAATAGATTTATAGCAAAATCAAAACCAATCTTCAACACCCTCAATTTATATATACTAGTTCTTGTGAACTTCGAAAGTATTCACCCATACCTTTGAACAAACAAAAATCTGTGAGCAATAAGGTATTTGGCAACATATTAGATTGCACAAGTGTGTAGTCGTAGAGGTTTCATGGAATATACTAGGTATCTAATAGCTTTACTCAACATTCTCCAGATCTTGTTGATGTTCGAGAGCTGGAATTTAGAAGTCAAGTTAACTGGGCTAGATTACTATAGAGTATCTGCGCTTGAATGATTTTCGGAGCTATGTTTGAAGTCAATGGACAATTGTTTGCTTCTTTTCATCTTCCTTTCTTTTCCACGGGTATGTTATGTATGTATTACAATCTGGAAGAGGAATGAAGAAAATATGAAATGAAATTCGAGTAGAACGAGCGAGCAAAAGGGGGTTTGAGGGCTTGCCTTCATGTTGTCTTCCACACTGTCAATTGAATTTCTAACTTTCTGTTGATGAATGGGAGAATGAAAAATGGAGAATGACGCTCCGCTGGCTCTCCGAGGGCCACTGCCGTGGAGGCAGACTATGAGACTATTTTGAAAAAGAAAATCAATCCATCGATTCCTACTTAAGCCTCCAGGATACTTTGAATCTTCGATATCAGAAACAGCAGACGGGAGTGAAAATCAAAGTCGGCCATCGGAACTTTAAAACACCGATGATCAAGGGTTAACCTTACCCCAAACTCTTTCATTTGATCCCCCAAATGCATGGTGTGGTGTGGTAGTCAATTCGTCATTGGTTTATATGGATCCCCCCACATTCCAAGCTCACCACCGAGACCACCACATCATTGGAATCAATGCTCGTGCTCGATCGATGGACCTCAATAGACTTCGATTTCTATCTCCAGTTGCATTGTTCTTTGATGTGATGATGCCTTGAGGATGCTCTAGTATGAGAAGTATAAGAGTATAAAAGTATAAATTGATACTCCTCTGCTTAGATAATAGTACGAATACGACAATGCTTTGCTTTGATGAGGTGTTCAACATGTAAATAATGCTATCTTCATATCAGATAGATGATGAGACCCTTGATTTCCAATATGTATGTATATCGTATGCATGTCTAATAAGTACATGGTAGAGAATCACGCCAGGTTTGCGGGGTAAAGTGATACCTTGACGTGAGATGTGTATTCGAATATTGGGCCATGATTTGGCGGTACAGGATCGAAGATCGAAAAACATGTCATGAATCATGATTGTGAATTGATTGATTGGACCAAAATGAATTCCCTTTCCAAGATCTCCTTTGTTTGATAGGGGAAGATAGAGTTTGATTGGTAAGGGGGTTGCGGATCGTGTGCTATTGGATCTATCTGCAACATGAAGCTTGAGGGGTTTGGAGGCTCGGACTGGGATGAGGGAGGAGGGGGGTGGTAGAGATGTAGAGAAGTAGAGAAGTAGAGAAGTATATTAGGAGAGCTTTTCTCGTGTAGTTTTTAATTCATTTTCGTATCACATCTCATCAACATTTCAATACAAATACCAATTGTCTTTACTACTTGTTTCTCACGAGTAACAATACAACACAACACAATACAATACATTTCAATCAATCAATCAATCAATCTACCAACTAACCAACTAAAAACAATGAATTCCCAACAAACAACCGCAGTCAAGGGAGGAACTGGCAGCGTTGCTACTCCAGCCAACAACGTCAATTACAGACGTGTATGTCTCCCCCACTTCTTCCCCTCCTTTTCAAAAACCATCTTGATGTCTTCCTTTTCACTATTCTCCCCATCAAGATGAACAAAAATCACCTGGCATACACAAACATCCACCAATTCGTTCATTCATTCTTCATTCCCTCTCCACACATCTTCCATTCAGAACTCCTCACTAATCACCACCAAACAACACAGGGCTCTCAAGAAGGCACTCTCTTCTCCGGACTCCAGAACCAGAAACGCTCGAGCAGTGATGCGGCTTCCAAGGCTAGACGAGAGAGTTTTGCAGAGCAGGCTCCCAAAGCAGGATTCGTGGGACAGATGTGGAATTCGTAAGTTTTTATTCTTCTTTTGTTGTGCTGTTTGGAGGGAGGCTACGAAGAAGGGGAGGAGGTATAGAGGCTCAGGATTGAATGGAACTTGGGCTAATGTTTGGGAACGCAGAATTGTCAAGGGGCAGTAATTCAGAATGGTGTTTGGGGATATAATGGGGAGGATAGGGTGTGGATATGGATATGGATATGGATATGGATATGATGAGAAATATGGATGTGGATGTGGGTGGATCGAGAAATCTAGCACAGGCGTCAGGAGAACGAAGGTACAACGGGTGGAAGAGGAGATATAGGGTCGATTTATAATGATAGCGAGCATTTGTTAATTGCTAGCGAAGCAGTATGAACACTGTTCGGATTTTGCGATTGGAAGATGGGGATGGAGATAGCGGATATGAATTACTCATGATGATAACCTTTAAATTATATCAAAAAACAATTTCAAAATATATTCATCTACGAATCTTCTTATCCACATTATCACCTTGTATCACATCACATCACTTTATCCTGTGATATCATTCCCTATCGATGAAATAACATAACTCCTACTATACTCCACGCATATATATATACACATACACATATGTCTGCACTCCCTGCAATAGGTAAATGCACAAATCTCATCAAATCCCATTTCCATTTCCAATCCCCATCCAAAACCACCCACCACCCCCCGATCCCAACCCCCCATCCGCAAATGTCACAAGCAACAAACCACTCCCGATCGAGGGGTGCAGTCAGGAGTGGATTCATCCGATCGTCATTCGGGGACCACACTAGCGGGTTTCCGGTATCGACTATCTAGCAAGTACCGGGATGGATCATGGATGGATCACGGATCCGAGGGGCCCTGACCCGTGGTGGGTGGGAATCTTGGTTGTGGGTGCGGAGGGGATGATGTATGACGAGTTGATTTGGGTACGTACACCAGTACTCGATGCACACTGCCAATTTGCCATGCGGCTATTGTGTTGCGTTTCAATACTATGCTTATCTATGATAGATGTGGTAGAAGTATGGGGAGTTTGATGGAGGAGGTACGAGTGTGTAGATTGAAGGGTAGGGTAATAGGTGGGTAATAGGTGGGTATTCGTACTCGTAATATGATTTGATATGATTTGATATACTGTGCTATGCGATGCTATGCTATGACATAATGAGGAAATGAACATTTCCTACCTACTCGTAGATCCAAAATTCTGCGTGTATGGTATGTACTCCGTAAGTACTAGGTAAGTAATGCAAATCGAATTGCCATATTTGGGGTAAAGCGACTCCTCTCCTAGGTAGTCAGGTTAGTCGAGAAACCCGCCCACCCTATCTCTATCGTATCAGATCCCAACCAATGGATACCAATATACTTTGGGATTGGGATCGATGCGGGAGGAAGAACAGAACTCGCCTCCCTTCTGTTGGTTTGTGGTATTAATATCTTCTTGATCCATCTTGTTTTATTTGTATCTTTATATCTATCTATAGGTATTTATTTGCATCGCTAAAAACGAATCGGGATTCGAATTCTTCTTTGGTATTTTTTATATCTATATTCTGTTTATTTATTCGCAAGGGAATTCTTCTGTTTGGGGATTGAATCTTGGGATTTCATACACACATACTTACTTATACGATATACCTACATACATACGTATATCCATACACATACATATAAACAAAATGACCAACTCCAACTCCGATTCCAACAACGACATGAAAAGCACATCTGCGCTGAGCGATTTGCTCCCTTCGTTTAAAACTCCGGGTGGTGAGATTTAATTTTTCCTTTTCTCCTTTTCTCCTTTCTCCTTCTCGTTTGGCATTTTCTCCCCTCCTTCCTACTTTGCCATCTCTTCTCTCGGTACGGTAGAGAATCACCCATCGCTAACCTCCAACCCCAGTACAAAATATCGAAGCGGCATGTTCCCGCGCCGGAGCGAGTAATAATCATACGCCCGGCTACGCATCCACGCTCGGCTCGCAGTCGCAGAAACCGGGGAGTGAGGTGGCGCAGGGGGTGGGGAGTGAGAAGTTTAGTGAGGGGATTAGTGATCAGAGGGTTGAGGTGAGAAGTTTTTGTTTTTTTTATTTTTCATAAAAGAGGGAGCTGGTGAGGGTTGGTGGATTGGAAAGGAGGGTTTGGGGGGTTTTGGTGTAGGGGGTGGATATATGGTGGATATATGGTGTGGGTGTGGGTACTAGGTGAAGTATTTTGGGCAAATTCGAGAGGAGAGAGGGATGAAGCAGTTTGGAAGAGGAGATGTTTAGGTGAAGATGATAAACTTGGATTTTGGCTAATGCTTGTGGAATTATAGCCCTCTGCTGTGGGAAAACTATTCAATAATTTAATTAATGGTACGGATAAATCGAAGTGAGGCGTGGACTATGGAAGAAGAGAGAGGGAGGTTGTAAATCTTGGGTTTGTTTGGTGTAGCAAACAACTGGATGTTCATTCTCATCTTGGGATGATACTGGGATAGGGATTGGATTCGATTAGATGGAAAAGTGATGGTGGTATCACTAAGGATTACAGTGTATGATATGGATAGCATGTATGAATAGAAGGGTTTGAGCGTTACGTATGATATTTTGTACTCTAGAATTACATAGTTTGTCAATGGATATTAGGCGCATGAACTCAATATTTACTATACCTGATAAATACACTCATCACAATACACCCCATCTATCAAAAGTCTCAACAATACAAATTTCACTTACAAAAGCAATCTAGCTATTCACAACCACCATCCAACCCCCTCCTCCAAAAATCAAACATCCATCTCCTTTTCATTCGCCTAATATAAAAAGGCCGGATACATTCATCCGCCAAAACACAAATATTGACTACCGAGCTGATGCTATCACTTCTTCGGAAATCCTTCACGCAAGATATGTCGTGTTTTCTTTATTTCTTTTCCCTTCTCTTTGTATATTGCATACCCTAAAGTATATCTAAGTCGAGATCATGATAACTCAGTAACTCAGCAACTCAGATTAATACGGTTGAAACGATGAGAATCTTGGGATTTCGATGATTTGGGTATTTAGTAGAGGTAGTAACCTAGATACATATATACATAACATGCGCTAAATCTCTCACGAGAAGATGAATAGATAAATAGATATGTAGACAAGTAAAAAACGAGATGGAAATTATATATATATATATATACATTTTCAAATCTCATATAACTAGATCATTATTCGAATATATATAAATACTTATAAATCTCACAAATCTCACAAATCTCACAAATCTCACAAATCTCACAAATCTCACATGTTGTTCAGAGATACTGTATGTACTATATGGATTTTGTTCCTGTGTGCGGATGGATGAGCTGGCTGGGGTTGAGATTGCTATTAATGATAATGATAATATTAAAAAAGCATGAAAAAAAAGGAGAAGAGAGAGGTGGGAAATATGGAAACTGAAAAATAATGTAACGAGTCATGATAGTAATGAATCGAAAGGGGGGAGGGGAAGTGTATGTAAGTACTAAAATATCGAGAAGATGTAAAATCAGGGTAGAGTATGTAAGAGTATACTTGATTAGATTGGATTAGACCAGAACAGACCAGAGAATATTAAATAGAAATAATCGATAAAAGTAAACCCAAGTAATTAATACCTAACTAACTACCTTGAACTTCTCGAGGATTAAGAAGGAGTGGATGGATGGATGTTGTGCTGTGGTTTATTTTATCTTGGTATACTCTACACTCCATGTATTTACATCGTTATATTCATCACCTTTCACTTCTCCACTTCAACTTGTCTGGTTTATGGGAAGTTTGATAGGAATACAATCCTATTTATGTATATATATATATATAGATATAATTTTTATCTTCCCTTAATATCCATTCCAAATCAACACCTATACACTCAACCTATTACTACAACTCCAAACAGACCAGTATACAATAAGAACTGAACTGAGCTCCTAATCATCACATCCGCATCTGATATCCAGTATCCAATATCCAATATCCAGTATCTCCACCCCTCCAAAGTTCAAACACAAGAATCTCACCAGCTAGGGAATTCCCTCCCAGTAACAGTGTTGTAATTAGTATACGATAGTATTACTGTGGCTGATATAGAAAGTATAATACACATGCTAGTATATATAATAGCTAATTATATTCATGTCCGTATGTATTATACAAACAGAGCTATACTGAAGATATACTAAAATACAGGAATTCATATATTTTAATTCGAATATTGTATATTTTGATTCGAATATTATATATTTTGATTAACTTTAAGTTTAATAAAAAAAGAGATTATTCAAAATATATAATATTTGAATAGAAATATGTAAATTCCCGTATTTCAGTATATTATTAGTGATATTCAATATTATTGAAATATGAAATATTTTTAATGATATATAATTCAATAATAATTATTGAAATATTATTATAAATATCAATATGTATCATTAAAGTGGGGTGTAACTGAAATACGGAAAATACTAATTACAACACTGCCCAGTAATCCTCATGTCTACCTACATTCAAAGAGCAGAGAATAAAGTAACGAATGAACAATACATATATCTCCAACATCCAATTCCAAAAACCCAATCAAGACAATACAATATCCTCTCTCCAACCCGACCAAATATCAAAGATCCTCCTCGATCGATCGATCGATCAACAAGCAAACAGATGGAAGTATTCGTTTATCTGCACTTACACAACATGCCAGAGAACCCGTGTCAGATAGGATGATAGCAGGAGTAGTAGATACGATAAAGATCCAAGATTTTCTTTCATGGATATAACAAAATTCAAACCAAGCTCAAAGCTCAGCTCCATACGATGATACAAGATTATCCTGCATACCTCTCCTAGCTAATTCGTACCATCTCATCTCATCTCGTTTCTCTCTTGCTCTTGTTTCATTTCATTTCACTTCAGAAAATAAAAATAAAGTGCGAAGCTACCTATGTATTTGAGTACATGTATCACTATCATATCATATCACATCGCATCGCATCGCATCGCATCGCATCACCCCACTGAGAATTATGTAGCGAGTAAGAGAAGCGATGTATGAACCCGTCCCCCTTTTCCACGTGTATCACCCCCCCTCCTTCCTTCCATCCTTCTATCCTCCCTTCCCCCCTTCCCCCCTTCCTCCCATCACTACGCAAGATAGAAATAGAACCCCATAATCCATAACCTACAACTCATCTAACAACGCGTAAATAGATCCCTCAAGAAACTAAAACCGAAAATTCCCACCCACACTTTTTTAAAACCTCACAACAAAACCTCTCTACCCTCTCATTCACGAAATCCCCTCCTACGCTACACATACACACATCACTATTCCAAAATCAAACTCAATAATCAAGATTCCATCCATTCATCTATCTATCCATCCATCTATCTATTTATTCATCTATCCATCCATCCATCCATCTATTCATCCATTTATTCATCTATTCATTTATTTATTCATCCATTTATTCATTCATCCATCTATCTATCCATCCATCCATCCATTCATCCATCTTATAAACAGAAAAAAAAACACACAAAAAGACCAAAGACTCTCTATGCAATTCTCACACTCCGAAATTCTCATGGATGAATATTCAATCCAATCCAATCCAATCCAATCCAATCCAATCCAATCCAATCCAATCCACTTCATTCCTAAACCATCCTCACATATAATATAATATAATATTGCAAGAGCACGAAAACTCAAAAAATTCCCAGCTTACCTTCCTCCCTACCATCTCCTCCATTCAGTCATCTCATAACGAATTTTCATCACTAGATCTTATTAGAGTGATTTGGCAAGAAAGATGATCAAGAAAGAAATAGGTGCCGTAATGATTGAAACTGTATGAGTTCGACAACTCTCATTCTGACATCCTCTCCTTCAGGCATATAGTAATCAAATCCACAGAATGAATGGAAGTCTTCACTAGAGGACTTCGGATTTACAAGTTCTCAATCCCGAGTTGTGACTTAACTGTGGATGAACTTGTCGGAGTATGATCACAGAAGAGATAATGTGACCCAAAAAGTTTTTGTTGGTCAACTCCCACAGGTAAAGCATGATTTTGTTCATTATGTAAATTTGGCTTTTCATTCAGCTATCATAAATATGAAGAAAAACCACCATCCGAATATGTGTATGGGAATCCTTCATGAATCATCGTATCTATCTATCAATTTCATGCCTTCATACCAGGTATCTAGTTATTCATTTATTGGCGACTAACACACCAATTTACAGCTTGTTAGGAGCGGTTTGGGTAGTTGGCCATTGGTAACCAGCTGCGTCGCTGAACTTGTATCCGTAGGAAGAGGTGAAGTCATCCAAGACGGCGGGTCCGCGGGAGCCTATTATTAGATTAGTTTTTTGTTGGTTATGAAAGTATAGGGGTGAATAATGTGAGTACCGTATGGGTATTCCATGGGGATAATCTCCTTGTTGTCGTCGAGGTAATGTAAGAGTGGGGTGAAGATTCTCCAACTTGCATCAAGCTCATCATCACGAACAAAGTTGGAGTGATCACCCTTAAGAGCATCAAGAATGAGGGATTCATATGCTTCTGGGATCTTGAGATCAGAGAATCGGCGACGGTAAGTCAAGTCGAGTTCAGTGACAACAGTTTGCATGCTCAAACCTGGCAACTTGGAGTTCATCTTAATATAAACACTCTCGTTTGGTTGAATGCGCATAACAAGCTCGTTTCTTGGGATATCTTTGAAGATACCAGATGTGACATCCTTGAATTGAATTCGGATCTCGGTCTTTTGCTCGTTAAGAGCCTTACCAGCCTTCAGGATGAATGGTACACCGTCCCATCGCTCGTTCTTGATATAGGCAACCATAGCACAGAATGTGGGGCACCTCGAATCCTTTGGTACGGTGTCGTCTTCCTTGTAGGAAGGCTTGTTTCCGTCTAAGGATTTGCCATATTGACCAATGATGACATTCTTTGGCTCGATTGCTGGAATACCGCGAAGAACTCGGACCTTTTCGTCTCTAACATCCTCTGCGGAGAATGAGATTGGTCTCTCCATGGCGAGGAGGGTGAGGACTTGTAAAAGATGGTTTTGCATAACATCTCTGATGATACCGAATTCGTCAAAATAACCTCCTCGGCCTTCGGTTCCAAAAGGTTCCTTGAATGTGATTTGAACATTGTCAATGTGATTTCGGTTCCATGTAGCACCGAAAAACTCGTTACCGAATCTCAAAATCAAAATGTTCTTGACCATCTCCTTTCCAAGGTAATGATCGATACGGAAGATCTCATCTTCCTTCCAGTTTGGCTCCAATGCCTTTTGTAACTCACGGGAACTTCCCAAATCCTTTCCAAATGGCTTCTCAACCTACAAGTTGTTAGCAATAGTATTCAATCGTGTGGAAATCTTGTGGCTTACAATGATTCTTGCTACACCGGTCTCTGGATAGGCGTTTGCTTTTAGTTGTTGGGATACAGTTGTAAAGACCGAAGGAGGTAAGGCCATGTAGAAGATTCTGTTGGCTTCTTTTCTTCCCTTTTCGAACTCCTCGCAGTGTTTTCTAAGCTCGATGAAACCCTCTGGCTTATCATACTGTCCGGAGATGTATGTACAGATATCGCAGAACTCTTGAAGTTGCTGTTCCATATCCTTGGTGGGAGTCTTAATATATGATCTAACTCTCTTAATATATTCCTCGTGGTCCATCTTCGTTCGCGCATATCCAATAATTCTGACATCCTTTGGGAGGAATTGGTTGCGATACTGTGGTGGCATTAATATTGAATCTTCGGCTGGAGGTATTCTGCACCACTTACGAGACCGAAAAGAGCTGGGAACTACAATCACATACGTTAGCAAGAAAAAGAATCTAGGTTAGAGGGGTTTGCTTACAGTCTTCTTCTTTGCAAGATCACCAGAAGCTCCCAAAACAATGATAACAGTGTTGTCCTTCAGTTCGAGAGATCTGTAGTGGGGCAAGGCAATCAGTCATTATTCGGATGAAATGGGTTCGAGATGTCCAGAGCAAGAATGGAAAGCAAGAAATTCATCACAGTCCGAGAGACCCGGGTTAGCCCCTTGGAGTGAACAATTTGAATATGTGATGAGTGTTGTTTACGTGAATGACCTTGCGTGAGGTAGATTGGTTGAAGAAATGAACCAACTTACCCAGCATTGCCAGACTCCTCTGGTTTGATAACAGTGTCGGCCATTTTGTATGTATTGTTTGTGATGTGTGAAAAAGGGAGAAAGGGAGAAACAATCAAATTTTCCTGAAGATCAACAAGGCTTTTAATAAGTGAAGAGGGATTGAAGGTTTGAGAAGAAGCTCAAGAAAAATGTTGGGTTTGTCCGCTTTTGATGAAAGACTCGACCCCGCTAAGATTGATGGGATGTATGACGGACGAGAAGTATTTCCGGGTAGCCTCCGAACCCAAAACAGACCTGTCTTATGTTTAAAGTACCTGGTTCACAACCCAACCTTTTGCATTTCCTCATGATTTGTGCTCTTTGTAATACATGTTGCTTGGATTATATGGATTCATTTTTCTTGGAATGTAATTCAACATCAATTCACTCTTTCGAACTCGAAAGACTCAACACCAAACTCTTGCCATCTCAGTATAGTGAAGCTTTTATCAAGCTTTAAAGCTTTCCTTGAGAGCCATTGCCATAACCATAACCATAGTCATAGTCATCCACAGCCATCACATCCACATCCACATCCACAGCCATAGCATCCAATACCATCTATCTTCTACCTTCCAAGTTCCAGAATACCTTGTCCCTACTCGACAAGGCCCGACCGCCCCTCATTTATCACCGATGCCCTCTTGGGAAGATTGGGAAGGGGGGCTCGGGGGGCCTCGATTTCTTACGGGTCCGATTATCAAGCATGTTGCATAGTCCTGATGGCAATGCTCGGTGAATCTTTACAAAAATGCCAATAGATCCCTTCAAGGAGCTCCCCCAAAGCATTACTCTATCGTTATACGTTGACAATGACTCCTGAAGCCATCTTCCACGAAAGTAATGTTCAAGTTGCTATCAAAACAAAGAGACGCAACGCCGTAACCCGAATGGCTAAATTAGCATTTAATGGTCGCTTGGGGCTCTAGAACTGTGCTTCCGTACTCGGGGCTTTGATGATTTGATGGATGGATGTCTTTGCGATATGCCGTTTCAGCTCATTTGGATTATTATTATTACAATCGTATACCTAGGTAGCTACTTTGGAGAGAGGAGAGGAGAGTTTTCGGCCGGTCCTCATCCACCCCTACCTTGGTAAATACTCCACCGATCATCAAATCAATATCATCAGTTCGCTCAAGAATTCTCAAAAGGCAAACTCGGGAAAATCGTCTCGGGATTTGAAACATCAACTGAATAGACAAAAATTTACCTTTTTACTCTCTGTACATTCTTACTTTCTTCCGCTACCTTCTAGGATCCTACAACACTGCTATGCTGCTCTCGTTATCCAAAAGAGGACTGAGAGGATGGTGCGAAAGAAAGGGAACCTGGTCTTCCAAATCACTGGAAAAATAGCCTCCGATATGGTTTCGACAATGTCTGATATTGACAATTCGCATAGTCCTCTTCGCAAACTATAGCGACGTTAACATCCTTTTTTTTCTCGTTTGCTGTTCCATGATGATGATGATGATGATGTGATTGCGAAATGGATACATCGGAACTTATTCCTAAAATTCTTCCGTTCAAAATCCCCGCTTCTTGATACCTTAAATTTCAGAGAACAATAAATCACGCTTCTGGATGCTTAGTCAGATATCCTGGCAGCCCTAGTTTTTCGCTAAACTTCTAGGAATTGTGTGCATTCTGGAAAGACGAAAAAAACATCCTCGACGCCGACAATCATTTACGCCAAACCGAACGAAGTCTTCCCTCTCAAATCCACGAGAGACTTTCGCCAAAATGCCTACCGAAGCCGGACACAGACGTGAGTAAACCTGATTTCGAGATAGCATTGGCTGTGCGGACCTTGGAGAGGAGGAAGTAGTTGGGGAAAATTGCGAAGTTGCAGTTTTCCTAAGACGAAGGCAAATTTGTTATACTCAAGCAAGGCCGCGGTTTGTTCTTGAATCAATTGCTGACTGTTGTATGTTTTTAGTCTATGTTAAGTAAGTTTACAATTTATCCCGATCAACGAGCATATTCCGGATTCGAATAGCGATATGGAGGTTGGAAGTGGGAACAGGGGTCAGAGATTGATGGAGAGGAGGTTTCGACAACGCACTTACGGATTCGATTGTTTGATTGAGATGGACTGCTTGAGTTGAATTATCGGACACATACTGATATGTATATCTTCAGGGGACGCCATTTGAGCTACCAACGCGGCAAGCGCAACACCACCCCAGGCACCAGCTTGATCCAAATCGAGGGTGTCAACAACACCGAGGCTGCCAAGTAGGTTATATCACGATATTCGAACATTTCTCGTTTCTAACCAAATAACAGCTTCTACTGCGGAAAGAAGGTTGCTTTCGTTTACCGTGCATCAAAGGAGGTTAGAGGATCAAAGATTAGAGTTATCTGGGGAAAGATCGCTAGACCACACGGTATGAGGAATCCGATGTGCTTCTCGCTGGGAATCAAACACTAATTTGTGCCAAAGGAAACTCCGGTGTCGTACGTGCTAGATTCAGACAAAACCTCCCACCTAAGTCATTCGGCGCATCCGTTCGCATCATGTTGTACCCATCATCGGTCTAAATGGTTGGTTTGGAGTTGTTAGCATGGACTGGGAGGATGGTTGATGATATGTCATATTTGGGCACTCGAAGAGGGCGGCAATAATGAGCACAGCCTTGCGGGTAGTATACCAATTAAGCAATTCAACACCACAATGGCCGCATGGGTATATGATTAAAAGTGCATATGGGATCGTCGTGGAAATCTTCACTAGACGTAGACAGGAGTTATCGATCAAAGGTTTCACAATTACACCCAGAACGACACGGAAAGATGTGCTCCTGAATCTTTTGGTCTTACCCATGTCATTTATGCTTTCAAAACGAAAATCGAAGTTTGGCACAATGGTTTGCACGTTTTACTGGTTTCTGGGAACATACATTTCGATTTTGAGACTCTAGGCCTCTTGATAATAGTGATTTTTGACAGTCCTGCCATGTACATGGGAAAATGACTTGGGTACGCACCATAGGGATGGATATTGACGTCAAGATGGAATAGTGAAATATGATACCGGTACTTGACCGGGACCCCAAATCTACGGACTCCGCACCCCCAAAGTGATCCATAGGTCTCATTCCAAAGCCTTGATCCGCTAGGTTAGTAGTGATCCATCCACCCATCCTCCAATGTTCATGCATCCCATCTACCTCTCCAATTCTTCAATCTACCTGTCCCCCACGCAGCTCTATGTATCAACACCACATTTCACGACACCCGTAGCATACAAGCCGCAGATTTCGAAACACCGATATCACACAAGCTGAATATCCCACAGTTGTGTACTCTTAGTGCTTTATGGATTAAAATACAATCTTATCTTGATCTCATGCCTCCCAATCATCTCATGAAGAGTCTCACCTATGGAGATGTACAGATACTAGGTAGGTATGGAATACATCTCATCGAACAAGAAGGTTTGGCTCAACCCAGCCTCGAGTTAGTTTGCATAGGTACAGTTATCAAGACATATAACGAGTTTTCCCAAAGTCTAAGCGCCCCGCCCCTCCAGTGAAGATGTGATGTCTATTGAGCCTTCACTAGGTGATAGGTATGTATCTGAAACCCCGAAGCTACTTTTTGTTTTATTTTGTTTTATTATCACCGAGTTGGGAAAGTGAGGACAGAAAGAAAAGCGTGGCATACTTGTAGTGAGTAGGTAGGTAGGTGGGTAGGTGGGTAGGTAGTAGGTAGATCAAGGTTGGATTCAGTAGGTAGCATGATGTGATTGATATTTTCAGCTGTTGTTTGTATGCATGCATGCGTGTATTTGATTGAAAGGTACTAGATAAGTAGATGGGAATGAATGATCGGTTGATCGATGGATGGATATATGGATATATGCCAAAATTTAATTGTATGTGGAGGTATGGTAGCTCACTCTGGATGGAAAAACGGGTACACCGAAAATACAATATTATTCAAAATTCTGTTTTGAAATCAATAATCAATATTTTTGATTTTGAATTGAAAGTAATTATTTGAAATCTAATAATTTATAATATATTTTTGATTTGTTTATTTTATTTTATTATTCAAAATTGTTATTCAATTTTGAAATAATAATGTTTTAAAAAAAGTCTCGATTTTGGTGGGTTTAATGTGTTTGTTTTTCTGTCTAGAGTAAGGGTAGGTAGATAAGGCGATGGGATAAGACAGGACAAGACAGGACAAGACAAATACCGAGAGTTCCGATTTCCGATGAGCTGATCGCGGAGACGAGAAAGTTCGTGTTTTTATCTGGCTAGGTAGGTAGTAACTAGTAATTCTTCAGCCACCACCATTTTTTGTGGGGGGCGACCTTATTTTTTTTCTTTTGGGGTTAAATTCTTGAAATTCTTGAAATTTTTGGGGGTGGATGGATGAATGAATGATGGTTGGAATGAATGGATGGATACCGAGATACCGTAATACCGTAGTTGAATGGATGGATGGATGGAAGGCGAAAATGAAAACAGGATTGATGGATCTGTCGATATGCTGATGAAGATGAATGGGGATGAATTGGGATGGATTGGGATGGGATAAGATGCATTGGGTTCAGGTATGGCTTGCTTGGTGTAATATTGGCATTTGATATGATGGCTGTTTGGACTCTGGAGTGACTGACTGATACATCTGAAGTGGGATTGATTGATTGATTAATTGTTTCTTTACGAAGTCGTATACTTCTGGAATGTCTATGTATTGTAGGTAGGTGTTCGGTAGGTAGATATGTCTTGAAGGGAATCGAGAGATGGATGCGGGGGGTTGTTGGTGAGTAGATACTACTACGATAGATACTAGATACTAGATACTAGATACTATTAGATACTAGGGAGTTAGATACTGGTAAAACTTTAAATTCGACTATGATGGACCAGATCGGTCTCTGTAGTAGAAGTATTCTATCTATATCTATATAGAGTGTTATATAACTTGTATTGTCAGATAAAGCTCGGAAACATGGCAGTCTCCGTTGGGTTGTTATGCTACCGGCAATGTTGATGGTGGAAATGTGAAGAAAATGAAAAGGAAACTAAAAATAACTCAATAATGTGACTAAGAATAAGTGTAAGAATATCTACGGCATTATTATTAAGTAGTACCTAGGTACGTACCGTTACTTCTTCTGCATTGGTTCGAAGCTTTGAATGCACCAGAACTTCCCAGAATCCCAGAAATCCAGAAAATCCCAGAAAATCCCAGAAAATCCCAGAATCTCAGATGCATCACTGATACTCGCACAGCACCAACAAAAGGATTCTGACCCGGGATATAAATAACTCGATTAGGACTAGTGGTAGATCATTCTTTTATCGTTTGATTTACTCGTACGAACTTCAATTCATATCACGATTCACCACACCACCACTTTTCTTATGATCCTTTCCCTATCTTTCCATGGCATCCCTGCCTGGTAACGAAAGAGCATACGAATTCCTGTCGCAATGGCCATTGTGGTATCGCTGGACTTCGGATCGAAAGCAAGTTTCCGATGAGCGCACACTATCTCATTGGTGATGATGGAAAGATTTTCATCAAAGCCATTCCCCTTGAGAGACGTATCGACTTCGTACGGATACTACGGTAGGACAACAGACAGAGCATTGCTTGCTACATCCATGGGATTTGTTGTTGACTCACGATTGAATAACGAATCAAAAGGGGACCTGGATGCTAGGTACCTAGGTAGATAGATAGGCGTGATTTCTCAAGGTGCGAGATACAAGATGCAAGAAAGCTATACGAATTCCGAAAAGCTTTATTCACTGCTTTGAACAACTAGTAGACAACTTGGACAAGAGCTCCTCGTCATCAAAATGCCCTAACACCCTAACACCTAATATTATACTTTTTTCTCATGGCCTAGTATGGATTCCATCGATGGATGATAAATATTGATTGTGCTTCAAAATTCCCCTCCAGTGGCTGAATACTATTGAATGCTTCGTATTAACTTTTCTCTTTCCCCGCGTAAAGTGCGTATAGTCGTACTCTTATTATTCTATACCTCTCTCTCTCTCTCCCTCCCTTTTCTTGTCCTTTTACAATCAAATTTGATTCTTTTCCAAATCATCATCAATCGTTTATTCATCTCAATTCTTCGTTTTCCTATTACCTACCTACGTATTAGGTGCGCACTCGTGAAGGCTTGAAGAAAATAAGCTGGGCAAATAAACAAACATAAACAAAAATCTGCATTCATCGGTCATCCTATAAAAAAAAGGAAAAAAGGAAAAAAAAAAAAACATTCGCTGCAATCCTTTCGATCAAAGTTCTGATTCACATCATACGAAACCATCAATCGTTATATCTGGAGATTGTCTTTTTGGGGAAGAAAGCTTAACATCAAACGCATTTTTGATCGTCTTCAAACTATCCACTACCGTCGTTCCATTTATCAAAACATCAGGTTTTTAATTCTCATCAAGCCTAATTCAAACATTGTGAAACGGATATCTACTTCTGATATAAAGCCACCAAATTCCCAACCACCTACTTTTGACGTTCACGACCGAGACTCAGACCAAAAGGACCAACTTCATTTCAGAGTTCCACAAATATCCCTACAAATCTCTCGATATTACTCCACCACACCCAGGTTTCACGACGATAAGGCTCAGAATATCTTGATAAAAGTTGTAATAGACCCACAACAGCGACAATCACTGTCCACTTATCGACTTATACTTAGAAATATGCAAAACCAAAATCACCCGCTACCCTCGCCCCCGGGCAATCAAGAGCGGCCTGGGAACCGCCAAAGAGCAAAGACTTCGTCTGGCTTCAGTTTACATTCTCATAAGAGCAGTGGCAGTGGACAACAGAAACTTGATCTCACAGAAACACACCGAGAGAAGGAAGCAAAAAGACTTCATTCTAAAGCTGATCCCTCCCTGGCCATGACGGAAGCCGAACCTTGTGAGTACTCGTTCAAATCATGGGATTCATAATTCACACACTGACGATACCATCACAGCTGCTGTTGCAAACGAGGTTGCGACTTCATTAGCACCCATTCGAGCCATTCAACACAGAGACAGTCAGGGAAACCCCATCGGTTCGTTATCTCATTCACTCTCACCATGAATCTTGTGCGCTGACTTATTTTTCACGCAGTGGATCCCGATCGTTCAAATCCTACGAGAAGCAGATGGGAGAGACCTTTGGATACAATTCGAGCCTTTGAGGCAGCTATCGATGGAAACTATTCTTCGAGGAAATCAATGATACGCGGTTCTGGTGAGAATTCCCAAGCTTCTTGGTGCTCAGGATTCTGGCGTATCAATTCTGACATTTTCACTTCACAGAATCCGATGTAGGCTCAACATACAATCGACGAAACAGTTACTATGCCGGTTAGTGCATTCCAATTATTTTTCTCATTTTTCTTGTTTGCAGAATTTTCTGCACACTACTTTTAAGACAGTTATCTATCCTGTTTTTGTGTTGGATTTGAGCGCTCAGACTATGGTGATCTGTGGTCTGTGGTAATGGCCAATGCCAATTCACCAACCGAGCACATTTTCGATGAGCTGAATGGGAATTTGGTATCTCGCATGCTCTAGCGATTTTCGTCTCCCAGTGGATTCTTGGCGCAAAGCGCGTGAAATTGACAACTGTCGTACATACGCTAACAGATCGCCATATAGCAAGTCAAATGCACAATGACGAACGACCAAGGTACTCTCAGCAGAGCTATTATGGAGGAGGACAACAACCTTACAGACAAAGCAGCCACTATGGTGGTGATGGACGACCAAATGGAATGACCAGGCCCGATAGTTATTACACTACCGATAATCATGGAGGTCATGGCAATGGATATACCCCAAACAGATCTCGATACCCTCGAACAGCATCAGAACCACAATTTAACAGTGGTGTTTACACCGCACCTGGAGGCCAGCAACATTCATATGAAACTGTGACGACTGCCTCTGGTAGTGGAATGTCTGGAGACGCTGCAGGATACTCAACCGACCCCAGCAGCTTGAATAGTTCTGTAGATGGACTTCATGCACTACCACAACAACCAAAAGAACCTGCCGAGACATATGGATTCAATGGATTTGGAAATAACCCCCAATACCTTCCACCTGGAAGTGGCATCAATGAGCAAAACGGAGCGCGAAGACAGCCGATTGGTCAAGGACCTCCGCCCTCTAACAAGGACAGCACACCACGAACTCCAATCAGCCTTGGTATCACCAGTGAAAATTCTCTACCTCAGAAATCGGTTGTTCAAATCACCAAATCAGAGGCTAAACCTCAACCTGAAAAACGGAAAAGTTGGTTTGGAAGAAGGTTGAGCAAGAATAAATAAGATAGATGCTGGTCATCCTCCAATATCTATCACGCTATCTACAATCTAATACGGATATGAGGAGAGAATCATCTGGGAGTGCATTGTGGGATGTATGGTATTGATTGTGTTCTAATGATATTCATGACGGGCAAACATAGGGGGTGGGGGCCAAGGGATATAATGGAATACACTTGGAAGCGGTTGGATTATTTTTTGCATCGGAAGGCGTCTGGTGTTGTATTTCTTTGTGTCGACTACTATTCCCAAAAGTTGGTCCGGAAAGGAGCTGTGCGCTTGCAGGCCTTATGTCTGGCCTTAATTGGCTCCTTTGCCTAGAAGAAGATGATTGGTGATGCTTGGAGCCCCGATGAGTTTGGATGTGGAAGGCCTGAATATGAAGATGAATATTTTATCGGTCTACATGTTTCACAATGATTTAACACACTTCTATCTACCCACTTTCTGGAATATTGATGATTTTATTTCCCCTATCATCACTTGAACCTTTGTGATGTGATTATTTGTTTTTCTGTAAAAGATGACTGACACATGACTTATGCTTAATGTGATCATTTTCCATACAACCCCAGAGTCATTCTCATGATTGTGACATCTCCAAATATGCATGACTGGTACCTGTACTTCGATTTATGAGTTTTCTTCGACCATTGTCTCGAGAGCTTTAGCTTTATCCACCACTACTATCTTTGTGATCATGGTCAACTGATTTGATGTGGTGTGATTTGACCTTTTGTTTCTTCCGTGGGATTTATGATGATTGATTAGAAAAAATGAGCTATGAGAGGAACTCCTAAAAGTCCTTTTGAGATAGAGAGATAGGTAGGTAGATGAAAATCGGGATTTGTCTCCTCGTGTAGGTAATGAAAGGAGAAAATCTTTTTTGTTGAGAGGTTTGACGAGGAGGGAGTTTTCTGGTGTGAGAATTGGGAAGAAAGTCCTCGTGTGTCATCATGTGAGACTTGGGAAAGAATCGCTCGTGTAGACGCGCAGGAAAGTGCTCGTACAGACTTGCAGGAAAGTCCTCGTCTACAAAGACTTTTTGGATTCCTCGTCCTTCGCGGCGGCTTCGAGTGCTTCGCTCTGATCTTCTCTCATGGCGACGATTACGTAGCCGATGAGGACGACGTTGGCCATTATGGCGGCGGTGGCGCCGGCGAAGGTGGAGTTTCCTGGGGTGTGTCAGGGGGAGAGAGGTGGAGATGGGGACGGGGATGGGGATAAGATGGGAGAAGTACCTCGAAAGACGGAATTTAGAGTTAGGAAATAGGAACCTATTGGGACGACGATCATGGCGAGGGTGAACCCGAGGAGTTTGAAGATTACATGTCTGGTGAGGGAGGAATGTTAGTTGGGGGGTTGAGAATTTGAGGATGGGTGAGGTGGTTTGTTCATGTGATGTGAGGATTGGAAGAGGTAGGGGTGAGGAGGAGTGAGACGGGTGAATGTGAGGAGGGACATGTGATTGTTATAATCGTAAGGCTGAGGTGAAAATGAGACATATTGGAATATTGGAAAGCGTACGCAGGAACAGCAGGAGCAATGTTACTCTTTCCTCCAGCAACAGGTTTGAATTCTGCTTCTTTTTCTTCGCCGGCGGCGATGCGGTCGTGGGGTGTTCGTCTTTGCGTCGCCATTGGATTGGTTTGTGAGGAGGTGAGGGGTAGGGAGGGTTGAAGTAGATGTATGTTTTTAGTACTTATTGGGAAATAGATGGGCAATGGATTTTTGTTCTGTGATGTTATTGAAATCTGGTTATTATGATTGTTTTTTCTTGTAGATCTGGATATCTGACTGGCTTGTCTCTGTGGAACAATTTGATATATATGTAGGTATGTATCAATTAGGAAGCGGAAGTGGAAGTGGACACTGCTGACTTCGCGCATCTCGCGAAATAGGACAATATGGGGAACGCGTTAATTGGATTTTTACTAGCGTGTTAGCGTGTCTTTTCATTGAGCGATAGTGGACCATTTACTAAAATCAAAAGTTATTTCTACGACCTAGTTATCGTTGGTCAGAGTAGGGCAGAATAAAGAATAACGACACAAAGATCGAAGGGTCAGGATTGATGGAATATTGATAAGAAGGTACGAGGAAAGCTCATTTTGGAAAATTCACTTTTGTTTTGGCAGGGGGATCATTGCAAGAAGAAGCTGGAGCGTTTACCTCAAGGCTTTGCCATCTCGCTGTCTGCAGTCTCGCCAGTTCGCAAGATTTCTTTTTCTCCCACTGCTTCTTCTTCGTCTTCTTATTATACCACAACAATCTCTGGGAACCCAACCTATCTTGATCAGGAATGTTCTGGACATTTTACCTGGAGGAATCTCGATTTTTAACTGGAAACAATTGCAGATTGCGAATCTACGCCGACCAAGATCCAAACTTTATATTAATCTGATTCAATTGTTGCTTTTACAACTTGCAATCCTATCCTCTTTTAATTTCTCGTCGAAGAACAAAACGCTCTCTATTTCTCATTTCAACAAAATAACGACAGAAACGAATTATGGCTTCCAATTTTCCCAATCCCTCTCTTGTACTTGATTCGCCTGCGGTAAAACGGCAAAGAACCGAATCAGGTTATACATCTATCAACAATTCTGCGAGAAACACAGATACCTATAATTCAGATGCGGATGATGGGGATGATCTTTTCAAGGATTATGTGCCTGACACGCCAGCGACAGCTAAGAAGTTCGAAACGCAACCTACACAGATTATAGGTGCTGCTGGGAAGTTCGAGACTCAACCCACGCAGATTGGACCCACTACCAAGAAGTTCGAGACTCAAGCTACCCAGATAATCGATCGATCTGCTTCGCTGGCATACCCACCAAGTTCCCCAAATATCAACAGCTTGAATGGTGTACAAGTACCTGCTTCATCACCTTTACGACAATCGCCTACACCAAGGAAGTTTTTGGCATCTGCAATGGCACCTGCTGGAACTGAATATAGAGCACCATTTGGAATCAATCAAAAGCCTATCGCCCCTCCAAGGAAGATCATCAACTTGGATAGTGATGACGAGGAGCCGTCATTTGTTGGAGACAGTTCTGACGATGATGACGAACTAGCCAGTGCGGATATCAAACCTACATCGTTCGTTTCAAAGAGTGCTTCTTTTGGGTCTACAGGCTATCCAGATGCTTCGCGATCATTCAATGGCAATTCTAAATTTCAAAACGCTCTCGCCAAGGCTGTATATAATCCACAGAAAGGCATGAAACAGCAAGGTTCAGAGAGAGCCAGGCCAATCCAGGATATTTCAATCAATGACATTCCAGATGGTGAGCTCAGAATGAAAGCTCAGCGCATTAAGGACATCTTTCCAGGGGTATCTATCATGGAGATCAAGGATGCTTTGCTCGTGACCAAGAACGATTTTGATGCTGCTTGCAGCTTGCTTGCCAAAGATAAGCCTATTGAGGTTTCCGACGATGAGGACGAAATTCAAGAGATCCCTGCCTCGGAAATGGCTGAACCTCAGATGAGAAGAGGTCTCGCGAAACCTATCAAGTCAATTAGGGACCGATATACTTCTACCCAAAATCAGTCTACGCAAAGACCGGCTCCAGTACCAGCTCAAGCTACCACGCCACCAAAAACAAGGAAAAGACTTATGAAAGGACGTAGAGATCCAACTTCCCCTGCAGCTGCCTCTTCTCCAGTCAAGTCTCCAACCAAGTCTCCCATGAAGTTGGCTTCATCCCCAGTCATCATAGATATGTCTGATGATGATTCTGACCTTGAGCAGGAGGAGGAAATCGAAGAAGATCCAATTCTGGAGGATCGGCTACTCAAGTACTTGAACAAATGCACATTGGATGATCTTATTGAACTTACCAATACCACCAAGAATAACGCCCAAGCAATGTTGGACAGTCGACCTTTCAGGAGTCTTGATGCTGCGAGAAACGTGTCAAATGTTAAGACTTTGAAAAGTGGCAAGAGAAGTGCAAAAGCTCCTATGGGCGAACGTCTCGTGGAAACTGCTTTGGAAATGTTTTCTGGCTACGAGGCTGTAGATCTCCTTGTCAAAAGATGCGAGGATCTCGCAAAGCCATTGGAGGCTGAGATGGCGAAATGGGGATTCAACTCTTTTGGGACTCGCAAGGAAGGAGAAGGTATTGAATTAGTATCTTTCGAAGATGCAGATTCTCAGCGTGATTCTGGAATTGGCACTCCAAGCAGCACTTTATCTACCAATGGCGAGAATGCTGATGAGGACAAGATCGCATCCGCCAAACGCAGGAAAGCGAGTGTCGAATTTCTGAAGAAGCCCTCGCTTATGGCAGATGAAGTTGTTCTGAAAGATTATCAAATTGTTGGCTTGAATTGGTTGAATTTGATGTACGAGCAGAACCTGAGTTGCATTTTGGCAGATGATATGGGTCTTGGAAAGACCTGTCAAGTTATTTCGTTTCTCTCGCATCTTGTGGCTACTGGTCGGACCGGTCCCCATGTTGTTTTTGGTCCTGCTGCTGTTTTTGAGAATTGGTGTCAAGAGTTCCAGAAGTTTGCTCCAAAATTGGCTATTCAACCTTATCATGGTATGTTCAACATAAAGAGACTCGCGTGAAGTAACTGAAGATGCATTGACTAATTAAACTTCAGGTCCTGCGGCTGAACGTGTCGAGTTGGCTGAATCCATATTGGAGAATCGAGATGAGATCAATGTCATTGTTTCTACCTACGATATGGCCGTCAAACCTGCTGATAACAAGTTTTTCCGGAAGTTGGGAGCTGATGTAAGTCTTGAACATGAATTAGTCTGATTTCGATTACTAAGTAGCCTTAGGTTCTTGTTTGTGATGAAGGTCACATTTTGAAGAATGGAGCGACTCAAAAGAATCAAGCTTTGAATAGGATTCCTGCTAGCTTTAAGCTTTTACTGACGGGTACACCCCTTCAAAATAACCTGGTCGAATTGGTTACTTTACTTGCATTCATTCTTCCAGACGTTTTCAAGGAACGAGAAGAAGACTTGAATTATATTTTCAAAGCAAAGGCGACAACTCGAGATACTGATCATGGAGCATTACTTTCTGCTGAACGTATCACTCGAGCCAGATCTATGCTAACTCCATTCGTCCTACGACGGAAGAAGCATCAAGTGTTGAAGCATCTCCCTACAAAATTATGTCGGGTTGAACGTTGTAGTTTGGAGCCAACACAGGCTAAAATCTATAACGAGCATGCAGATGCAGCGAAAGAACGGGCACGCAGGCGTCTTGAAGGTGTCAAAATGCCACCTTTGAAGTCTGAAGAAAACAATCCAATCATGCAACTTCGCAAAGCAGCTATCCATCCACTACTTTTCAGACGCCACTTTACGAATGAGAAGATTGAGAAAATGGTCGACATTCTACGAAAGAAAGAACCAGATAATTTCCCTCCCTCTGCTAAACGAATCCATCTTGTGGAAGAGATGCGCAACGCTTCGGACTTTTGGTTACACACGTGGTGTGTATTATATCCATGTATTAAATCGTTCGATGTTAAGAAGAATGCTTGGATGGATTCGGGGAAAGTGTCTGCTTTAGTGGAACTTGTGACGAAATACAAGGAGAATGGGGATCGGGTTCTTATCTTCTCTCAATTCTCGCTTGTTCTTGACATTCTGGAATCTGTATTGAACACTTCCATGATCACATACACTCGTATCGATGGTGCCACCAAAATTGACGAACGTCAATCTTTGATTGAAAGATTCAGGGACGATACTGATATTACGGCTTTCCTCTTGACAACTAAGGCAGGTGGAACAGGTATTAACTTGATGTATGCCAATAAAGTCATCATCTTTGATGGTAGTTTCAATCCTCAAGATGATGTGCAAGCAGAGAATCGTGCTCATCGTGTGGGACAAACTCGCGATGTGGAAGTTGTCAGATTAGTCACTCGTGGTACCATCGAAGAAGCCATTTGGAAAATGGGTAGAAGCAAGTTGATGCTGGATGGAAGAGTGGCAGGGGAAGAAGGTGAAGAAGCGGGCGAGAAGGCTGTGGAAAAGATGTTGTTAGAGGGAGTTACAATTACGGATGAAGAAGCGGCCCCTGTTGCTGAGGGTCATGAAACTACGCCCAAGAAAAATGCGAAGGGCAAAGCGACGGGGCAAAAACTACCGGATAGGAAGAAATCAGGCACGTTTCTCGATTTGGCGATGAAGGGAGCGGAGAAAGATGATGAGGATGAAATGCTTGTTTGAGGTGGTTGGCCAATATATCGGTCGTACATGCCAAGGAAGATGAGCGGGATGGATTGTTTTCAACGAGATGATCAGGGTTAATGCTAGAAGGTGGTTCTGTTTGCGTCATCATATAATTCAGTGGATCTTTTAGACTGGGGTGGCGTTCTGAGCTGTTTGGTTTGGATTGATGTGGCATAAGACGTAATATGAGGAAGAGTTTAAGCGAGCGAGATTGGGGAGGATTTGATTCAATATCTACTTTTTTTTTCTCCCGTATGCATGAGAAAGGGGATACATCTGTATAAGAAGCTAAGAGGCATGAGCATAATGTGGGTAGGGGGAATATGTTACGGTATACATAGATTACGATACGAATTACCAGAGGAAGTGGGAGAATTAGGGGAAGATGGAGATGATAGAGAGGTGGTGGAAAGATTTCAGATGGTGTGTTGGATTCCTAGTGGAGATGTGTAGATGAGAATTAGATGGAGGTAGATTAGATACCTGGGAATGAATAAATGAATGAATATACAAATTTATCAAGGGTATTGGGTTTGGATGTGTATGTTCTTTAAAAGGCAATGTGGACCACTTAGTGAGTGGTACATATAGATTGCCCGGATAGGTTCTTTCACTTCTGGAAATATGCACTATACAGTAAGTAGGGTTGAATGGATTTCCCAATTTTGTTCATGTCAGAATTTGGGGGCTCCCTTTTTGTTTCTTTTTGCCATGCTGTGATCTGTAATTGTGATCTGTGATGGATGGATGGTGGTGGCAAGTTTTTGGTTTGTTGGTTTATATATGATGTGTCTTTGTTTGGTAGTGGAAGTGGAGTGAGGTGATGGGGCGAGGCGAGGCGAGGCGAGGCGATGGAAAGATTGGGAAGGAAGGAAGGAAGGAGTGCTTGGGGTTTGAGTTGTGTTGTGTTGGGTTCTTGGGTTGAGAGGAATGGGTTGGATTGGTGGGAGGGGAGGAAGGATGTGGAGAGAAGAGGAGAGAAGAGGAGGTATTTTAAATTATGTCTAGAGAGAAGGGGGTTATATATGTATATGTGTGTGTTTTGAAGTATTGTGAATTCGGGATGTGGGATGGATATAGTATAGTTTGATGGCTTTTGGTTATGTTTAGGAGTATGTGATATAAATGGTGTATGATATGGTGAGAAGGTGGTTATTTGGGGGGTGGAGATGGAGATGGAGATTGGTTGCTGGTTTCTATGGGGAGGAGTTGGTTGGTAGGGTATACAAAAGGGTATTAGAATGACTGATGTAGTTCAATGGGAGGGTCTGGGTAGTGAGAACATATGGAAGAGAGGTATGTTTGGTAATCCGTACAGTTTTTCTTTGCATTGCTTTTTAATCGAATTGCTTGTATACTGGTGGGTTAAGAATGAGGACCTCAGGGAAAGACTTTCATGCATTTGTATTGTTCACTCTCAACCTTCATTTGAAACGATGGAGGAGGCAACCTTAGGGTTGTGAAAATATTATTACTTCATTTCGCACCATGCCAGTATCATGATCGTGTTATCTAGGAACAAACTTACGAATTGTATGTTGGTATATCGATAACGATATGCGGTTCTGGTGATTTTGGTCTCGAGCCTTGGGAACTATATAAGTGATCCTCTCTAGCTTTCAAGATACATGTTGGGAATCTTGGATTATGTTTTCTTGATACCTTGGCTCTGCTTCCTAGAGGTTTGTGCAATATTTTTGAAAGAATCGAACACTTATTCCTATTCGATCAAACGGTATTCATTTAGCATTTCAGAAATTGACAGTAAATCATGTTCACATCCCGAGAGGGAGGTGGAGGGAAGGTGAGGCCTCGCTAGCTCGCTAGCTAGCCTGTCGACTAGCTTCAACTTCGCACTGGCCAACTAAAACCCCTACTTCTTTCAATTTCGACCAAAGCGATTCCCTTCATTATTTAACATCCAACTGTCGAATTTGCTGTTGTGTAAATGGAGAGTTTTGACGGTATAATCTACCCCAAATGCAGAGATTCTAGCCTTCCAATATTCGAGCTTGATACTGTTTGTTTTCACAATACAACGAACGTTTTCTTTGAGAAGCGTTTCAATAGGCTGGGTGGAATAAGAAAATGGCATTAATTCAACTTCGTCAGTCGCGTACTTGACAGTTCTTGAAGTGCCGCAGCGTCGCAATGTGGGGGACTGGATGTCCCCTCGCAATAGTATGGCTATGCTGTGAATCAAATTACCTGTTGGGGCATTGTTCAAGTTATTCATACCTCGATCAGGATGGTGTCAGCGGGATATTTCAATTCCTGATGAGCACCATGGGGACTGTTTGGCGTTGAAGCTGAATGCACATCTCGATAATCACAGAAATTCATCTTCAAGGGAACAAAAGGGCGCGTTGCAGAATATTGCGGGGTTCGATCAAATCAAATGCTTCGTCGGCTGAATCTGGTAGGTCACACTGCATCCCCTCGCCACGATTGAAGATTCCAGCAAATAAGACTCAAAGTATCAACGAATAATGAGGAGCATTGCCATTTCAGATTGATACATCATCGAGGCCCGACCCAGGAGTCTGGCACTTGCAAGCTTTGGACAATCCAAGTTTTATTGCTTTATTGCGCCGATCCAGACCATATTTGAAGTCTTGCTGATGTACAAACTAAAGATAGCCTTGATGGTGTTGTGCTACCTACACGCATCTCATGATATCTCAAGTTCAATAATCTTTCTTATATTCGTTCATTTTGTCTTAACAAACGCAACCTTGACTCAACTGGATTGAACCTGACAAAGCAATATGCAAAATTATTCACAAGAGCAGCTAGAGAAAGCACGGCAGTTTATAGATGATTTGCGGTATGAAAATGGCGGCATTACAAAAGATGATCGAGAATTTCTCGAGCGAAAAAGACCTGGGGTCCTAAAATCATTTGATAACATCCGAAGAAAACTTGGTGCATCGACTCAAATGTTCGTTTTCTAACCACAGTTGAAGTTGCTGTTGTGTTATTTGCAACCAAATTTTACTAATTCTTATAGTCTGGCTGAGCAGCTATATCAGAAGTCTACCCGCTTTGTTTACGAGCTCATTCAAAATGCTGAAGACAACAAATATACAATCACAACGCAATCGCCTCACCTGTCTTTCACTCTGCAATCAGACCGCATCATTATAGACTCCAACGAAGATGGCTTCACTCAAAAAGGACATTAAAGCCATCTGTTCCATAGGTGAGAGTACCAAAACATCCATCCAAGGCTACATTGGGGAGAAGGGAATCGGGTTTAAATCAGTTTTCAACGTTGCTCATAAAGTTCATATCCAGTCTGGCCCCTACTCATTTGCATTCGAGTATCGCAAAGGGGATTCTATAGATCGTGGACTTGGTATGGTTACACCGCTGAGTGAGAGACTATATGAGCTTCCCAGTGATTTTCGAACAAGGACGATTTTGTACCTTCACGAGGATGAAAATCGAGAGGCAATGTGCCAAGACTTGATCAAATTGCCAGACACGTTGTTACTCTTTCTCAAAAATCTACAGCAATTGACTGTGAGATTTGAACTTCCTGATCAGGTCATTCAAAAGGTGCAATATTCACTAACGCGCCCAGAAAAAAGTCACTTCAACAATAAAGTTCAAATAAAGGCTGCAATCACAGGTACAGATAGCATAGACACATCTAATAAGAGCTTCTGGGTCAAGAAGCACCGCGCTTTCAATCTACCTCCCGATCCCGCTCGTCAACATATTCATGAAGCTGAAGTCGTACTCGCCTTTCCTATAGACGAAGATGATGTCCCAGTTATTGGAAATCAAGATGTTTACGCTTTTCTTCCGTTGAGAAAGGTCGGATACAAGGTTATTCAAGCCCACCAACTCCTACTGGTCTATGTTGAAGCTAACTTGGATTGTCAGTTTCTTATCCAATCCGACTTCGTTACCAAGGCCAGTCGCGAGGATGTTGTAGTTTCTGCGTGGAACAAAAGGCTTCTTGAGGAAGTAGTCGTAGCGTTTCGTAACGCAATCAGTGGGCCTAATGGATTCCTTGAGCACGATACACTCCGATACAGCTGGATCAGATACATACCCAGAGATATTATTGCAGATGAATTTTGGGGCCTCCTACAAGCTCGCCTATACAATGAACTTTGCATTAGTAAATTTTTCTACTCCATGGATGGATCTTGCCGGAAACCCAATCAGTTGCGAATCTTACTGGACTTCTTTCGAGATGAGTATAGCAATCCGCTTCTTGCAGATCTCGCCGCAGGAGAAACCGCATACGTCTCAGAATCTTACAATGTTGCTATTGATATTCCAATCTTGCAGCAGATGAAAGCAACACATCTAGGTTACTCTGGATTTCTGGAAAGATTGGAACAAGACCTGAACCTAAACCTAGATCCTCGAATGAAAACAAAGCCTTCAAATAGCCCTTGGCATGTCAAGGTGGCAACAATTTTGATTCTTATTGCTCGGAAGAATTATCAGAAACTGAACGTACAGAGACTGAAAATCGTACCGCTTGACAATGGGAGGTGGATTTGTCCATTGAATGCGAGTATATTTTTCCCAACTTCAGGTGGTATTGACATACCGAAAAACTTACCTCTGAATTTGGTTGACAAGGAAGCACTCGAAAATTCGAGTAGAAAAGAGCTCTTCTCACAACTCGGAGTAACTGTGTGTTCACCACGACAGATATTTCCTCTCATTGAGCAACGATATAAACTCCCCTCTTACATGTCAGATTCTGCTTCTGATGTCAAGTTTCTTTTCTGGCATCATGAGGAACTTCCAACTAGTAACTATTCGATATTCATGTGGTTTTGGGATGGAGAAGACTATGCCCTATCTGACATTCAAGAAGGCGGTTAGATTTATTGCAGCAAATCCAACCACGCATACGCCACGGTCAAGATTATTGGTGAATATAAAGCGCTCGAACTATATAAAGGCAATCATGTCAGATATGTATGGGAACATTGTTACAGGGCTCTTGAGGCTTGTGGCGTTCGGAACAAACTCACTGGAATTGAGTGGCTTCGGTCACTTGGGATTAAAGAGACGCCGCAATTACGAAGGAGGGGTCATTTTCAAAGTCCAGAGATGTCGGCAGAACTCAAGTACATTGCGGGAAATCTTCCGGGGTATCTTCTTGGCGTGTTGCAGGCAGAATGGCCACAATATAACAAGTCAGAACAATGGGATAGTTTCATCAGAGAACAGGAAGTAGGCATTCTTTCCTCGGCAAATATGATGCAGCTAAAAGATACATATCTACCATTGCCAAAGCTTAAGGCTATTGCTTCAAACCTGGGGCTAGCAGAGGGGTTTGGCTTTGTGCAAGAGTTGAATGGTATAACTGATGCCGAGGCTAACAAATGGGGGTTTCTAAAACGGTTTGGGGTTGGAGTAGATGAAGATGTTTCATTCTGGCTGAGGCTGTTGAAGCAGGTCCGAGAGAAGAGTTCAACAACTATTTCGATCATCAAGCGATTTCGACTGAGAAAAAAGGTGTTGTCCGTCCCCAATGTCGTCTTCGAGATATACCGACGTCTACAAAAGTACGATGACGAGTCAGAGATCATAGAAATTAGGTGAGCCATCTACACATTAGAATTTGTCCAGCATAAGTTGATCAATAACACCTCTTTAGAAAAGCGTTCGAATCTGGTCTGATTTTTATACCCTCCTACGAGGACGTTCATGGCGGAAAGTGGATATCTATCAGTTTGTGTGTATGGAATGCGCCAGAGTGGTTTGATCATCTACCTCGTCTTGAATCTATCAAAGAGTATCAAAAACTACAACCATTATTTGTGAATACACTAGAAGTCTCGAATGCTAAATTGAGCCATTTTATGGTATACTTGAGCTGTATCAAAAAACTCGAAAGTCACAACCCTCAAGAGGAGGCAAAGATCCCATTACTATATGAAAAGTTTAAAGAATTGACTAAAGAGGGTGCAAGGCTCATAGAAACAGAAAACATAAGGTATGTACCCTACATCGTGGCATGACGACTTGTTTCTAATTGAACAGGTCGTGGATCGAGAACAATAAACTCCTTTACTACCGTCCAAATAAATCATGGCATGCCCCTTCATCTTGCATTTGGGCAACAGATGAGATTCAGCTTCCGGGGAAGATATCTATTGCCGCCGAATACAAGAAGCAAAGCGTCTTTGTCCGAAAAGTGTTAGGAATCAAGGAACCAAGTCTGGAAATGCATATTCTTGCACTCCAGAAACGCGCGCTCGAGAACCCTACCAAGGAGGGAATTCTCAATGAGCTGAAAAATATATGTGCGCTCAACCCTGCAGATGGTATACTACGAGACAAGCTATCCACTTGCAAGTTTCTTCCCGTATGCGGAACATCCCAGATGACCGAATGGATGGATGTCACAAGTAATTTTGCAATTATCGATCGAAAAGAGTACGGCGACATCTTCAAGAATAAGATAAATATTCTTGACTTTTCGCTAGAGGAAGCTCATTCTATAAACCCAATTCTGGTTTCCCTCGGACTTGAAGGGCGATACATGTCAAAATCTGTGAAGGAAGAGACGAAGATCGCGGATGGACTGCTGAACGACGCGCTCACGAAAAATTTGAGAAGAAAAGCTTATGCTATTTGTCGGTAAGATACCTTTTCTGGGGATGTTGGAGAGATTCATTTGCTAAGCTATAACTTAAGGTATGCTGCCCATTATGGGACTAAAGATGCTATCTCTGCCTATCGTTTGCTGCAGACCCTCGAGCTCTTCACTAGCGACAGCATCACCAAGGAGGTTTCCATCACACAGAATAAGAACATCACATCGATCAAAGTTGATACAGCACTTTTACATATCGCGCAAGATGACAGTAAACTTAAAATTTACATACCTAAAGAGCAACAGCAAAGAGAAGTCTGTCTTTCGCGACAGCTGCCTATTGAATTGCTCAAGCATCTTGGCGTCTCCAACTTCCGCAAGGGGGCCGAGCTCGGCCCTATCATTACCGCAAATAGTTTCTTTGCTATAGATGCGATTCTTGACTCTGATGGAATTATCGATGTACCAGGGATATCCCCTCCAAAGGATTATAATGAAAGCGAACCGTTGACACTTGACGTTTCTCAGGATGTTGTTAGTCCAGCAATCAACGCTGACATGGGGAGGAGTGCAGAATCGCGTGAGGACTCTAAGCACAGTGGCCATGATGGATTCTTCGTCGACGAACATTTCAATCGAGTTGAATCTATGGATAGTTCTCTTCCATTTCGAGCTACATCCGGCTCCCGCTTCCATGAAAGTTCCCCTGAGCGACCCGATCTCTATAAAGAACTTTTAGATGCGGTCGTTAAACAAGCTAGTAAAACGCGTGGTATACCAGTTGCTGGTGATGTCATCATAGCCCCTATATGTGCTGGTTTTTCCGTCAATACAAGTTTAGCTATTAATTCAAGTGAGCCTGGAGAGGGTCTATATAAGATAGGGGCAGCTGGAGAATTGTTTGTACGTGTGAAAGTATCATCATTTATCTTGCACATTTTCTAATCCGTTCCAGATGTTCGAAGTATTGAAAATTCTAAATTTGCCTCTATTTAATCTTGAGAATTGGAGGAGCAGTATCCGACATCGAGTTACCATACACGACGACTATAAAGATATGCCATACTGGAGTGGTCTCGAAACATTAGATATCGTATATGAAGACCATGGTCGAAAGTTAACTGAACTCCTTGTCGCAAACAACTATTTTGATCATGTCGAAAAATCAGATGAAAAGTCAGAAGTCAAGCAACTTACCACTTATTATATCGAGGTCAAAACAACTCCTGGACCGCTCACTGCTCCATTTTACTGCAGTCAAAACCAGTTCGATAAAATGGAAAGCATGAGGCTTCAAGCTGAACAACCACTAAAAGAAGTTTACCTAATTGCTAGGGTTTTTAATCTTGGAGCTTCAGGTATGGGATACAAGTTGTACGTGGATCCTGCTGGATTGCGAAGGAAAGGGCAGCTTAGGTTCGCGGCGGATAAGTATGTTGTGACATTGTAAGAAGACCACAGTAAGTCGATGGTTATAAGCGAATTCCGTCTCACTCGAGGTGTTCCATAGTCGGCACTGTAGTCTAGTTCGTGATCAAGCTCTGGTTGAATCTTTGAGGAAGCCGAAATCATCGCTCTACAGATACAATGTTGAAAACCCTCAAGTCATTGTATTTTAGTCTAATCATTTGGCTAATTTGTTCTACTGGGTGAGTTTGCAATGAGTTTGATATTTGGAGTAGAAAAAAAAAAGAATAATGACTCATTTGATGTTGGTGACTTCTCTGAGTAAATCCCTTCCTAATTGATGAAACGTTATAGCAGTCCTCAATAGGCTTAGAGGATATGTATGTTGTACCTGTCAAAATTAGTTGTGCCAATCAATCACTATCATCATTACCGTTTTATCTTTAAAAAATATGGACTTCATCTAGTTCGTACCGTTAATTGCTGTTAGAAAGCCTCTCTATGAATGTCCTTATAATAGGGTTTTCAGGATGTAGATTATTTCCAAACCTAAAAAATTAGACCCAAAAATGTATCCTAAGATCACACAGAGAGAGGTTGTCCTATCCAGGATTCTTATAGAGGGGTATTGCTATTCCCTAAACCGCCAACTCAGGACTCCTTTATGGTTTATGCGCTGAGTAAGAATATCAATAATCTTATAAATAGTATTAAAAATAAAAATACTTATATTTAGAATTAAAGATTTAAATTTCTTAAATAAATTATAATAAATATATGAAGTTTATTTCTATATATTTTTAATTAAAAAAAATTAATTAAAAACTATTGTTTTTATATATAAATAATAATACATCTTTATATATATATATATATATATACAGTTCTATATTCATATACTATACTAAGAGCGATTCACAGGATCACATGACCAATCACGTGATCGTCGCTTATAAGCTTCCGAAAGCGACCATACGAAAACGACCGTATTTAGCTTCCGAAAACGACTATTATTAGTTTCCGAAAACAACTATATTAGATTCCGAAAACGATCATTAATAAAGAATAAGAAAAGGAGCTTTATTTCGAAGGAATGGCCGGATTAGAAAGAGATCTATAAGAGATAAACGAAAGCGGAAAGCTAGGTTAGAATAAAAAAGGTATATAATATGGGCTTTTTCCCTCTTAATATAGGATAAAAAATTCAATACTACAATACAAATTCCTAAATATCATATATTATTATTGCTTTTTAGTTATTAAACTGAGCCAGCTTCCTATAATAAACTAATATTAGTCTAATCCCTCTTATATTCTATATATACTTTATACCTATATACCTGCTTATAATCTACGATAGATTATAAGCCTAATATTTCATATTTATAACTAAAATACAAGTTTATATATATCGATATTCGATTCGAAAAAATAAGGAAAGGGTTATATAATTGAAAACTAGTCGAAACAGTAATCGAAATCCGAGTATTCAATGAAATCGCATTCAAAATCCATTGAGTTGATATATATTTATTCAATCAAAACGTTATATATATCACCTAAGCGTATAAATATACTAATATAAGTGTATATTGATCCCAAATCCATATTCGAGTTCTTAGTCTATATATATTAATATAATATTAATATCAGAGCTATATCTTATTAGAGAAATATCATTTAATAATTCTATATAATATTAATACTATATATTACCGGCAATATAGTAGTCCCCTTATTACACCAGATATAATAAATTTGAATATCATACCTTACTGGAAGCATAAAGCTAATCATTGCTTATATTCAAATTCTTATCGAATTACCGAATCCTTATCGAACCATATAGCTATCGATCTATATATATATATATATATATATTTATATACGTATACAAACCCTTGTCGAACTATCGAACCCTTATCGAACTATCAAACCCTTGTCAAATCATCGAATCCTTATCAATCGATATACATTTCACTTATACTATTAAACTATATATATATATACCACATGGAATTTGAAGGTAAAGATACACCTATAAGGGCAACTAAAAGATTTTAAAAGAAATAAGATAATAGAAAATACGAAGTAATCCAATACAAAAACAAGGAGAAAACTAGAAATAATAGCAATTTCCTTATAAAACTATAATTTCAAATAATAGTTTGATACTATTCAATAGTATAAGGAAACGAAATTCAAGTTGAAATAGATTAATTAGGTATTGAAGATTCAGTATATAGCTTTACAGTATATTATAACTATAAAGATACGATATATTCGAATCTATTATCTATAGAATATACTATTTGGACCTTATATTATATATAAAATACTATAATATATAATTATATCAATTCGAATTATAATCTAATCAATTTCGAAATCCTAAATATTTTTTATATATTGAATTTAATTCGAAAAAAAGAAATTAGTTTAATTAGTCTACAAATCCCTTATTTTTATATAAATATTATAATAAATATTGAATAAATATATTATATATACCTATTTATATATAGAATTAGTATAAAACTATTTTGAATAATTAATAAAAGGATATATAAAAAAGCTAAATAATACGGAATACAATATTGTTTAATATAAAATAAAAAGGGAATACTATATAAATAATAGTAATCTATATAATTATATTATTTATTTAATAAGGGTTATATATTAATTAATAAAAGAAAAAATCGAAAATCCAGAAGATTCTATTTATAGCTTAATTATATTATATAATTATAATAAAGAAGCTATTAATAAAAACCTTAATCTTATTATTAAAGAATTCTGGAATTTAATCTATATTTAAAATACAATTATAGAGAAAGGTCTAAATTCGAATTCAAACCTAATTCTTATTGAAATCGAAGATCAAAATATCGATTTAATATTCAGATTAATAAGAAGAAAGGCTAATCAACTAAGATTATTAGAAATCCTTGTATTTGGTAATATAACATATATTATAATATAATTGTATTAATATAATAAGAGATATTAAATATATTAGTTCCTTTAGTTTACTTTTATCTGTGTCCCTGAGATTAAATCTAATTGAAGAATAAAATTAGATTCCTAGAAGCTATATATATATATACGTTATCTATAGCGGATTGTATAGTATTATATCTTATATGAAGGTGCTTTAACTTGAATAGATTTATATATAAAGGTTTATATAAATTTATATTAAGAGGTGGTAGTTAAATACTAAATCACTTTTTGAATTAAAGCTTTATAAGAGTTATATAAAGATTCTGATTCTATAGTACTTACTATACTATAATAAAATATTTATATATATTAAAAATAAATATATAAAAATGAATATGAATTAAGGAATCAAGTATATTAACTCTAAGCTAAATAGTTGATCTAATTATATAGAATAATATCAAAAATCTAAGCTTTTTTTAGAGGCTAATGAGTTTATGCTCTATATAGACGATTCAGAAAAAGGCTCTGAAAGAAAATACTATTTTAAAGACAATAATACACCTATTTCGAAAAAGATTCACCTTAAATATAGCGAAAAATTGAAAGAATATAAAGATAAATCTAAAAGAGCTTTAGTTACACTAAAATCAATAATATTGATGAATTTAGTTGATAGATTTAAGAATAAAATTAGTTTAATAAAGCTTTGGGATATTATAAATAAAATTTATAATAAAACTTCTCTTGATATAATAGGGAGATATTTTAATAAACTAATAAAATCAAATTATAATGATTTTAATAATATGAATAAATATACAAACCACATACTCTCATCCTATATATACTTAAAAGAGTTAAAATTTGAATTGCAAAAAGCTTATATAATATAGATTATATTTAATAATCTAAACGATTTATTTGATTTGTTTAAATCAAGAAAAACTGAAGAATTTTCGAAAGACTTAAATAATAATAATAATATTGATTTAAATAAACTAATATCTGAATTAATATTCAAGGAATTTAGAATAAAAGATTCTATAGAGTTTAATAGAATAATAAAATCACAAAATATTATTCCAAATTACACTTTTTGTAATAAAAAGGAGTATTTAGAGGAAAAGTACTTTAAAAAGCATTTAGAACTCTATAATAAAGATTATAAAAGATCTAAAAACTTATCTAAAAACAATAAAAAATCAAATAAAAAACTATATAAAGTAATTAAAAAGTTAAATAAGCTTAAAAAGTCTAATAGGATTAATAAAAATAATAAAAAGACTAATAAAAAGAATAAAAATTATATAGAAAGCTCTGATATTGAAATAAATCAGGCCTCTCTAGTAGACTACAATATAGCATCTAGTCCTGAATACAAATCTAATATTATAATCATATTAGCTAATCATACTAATCAATCTAAAAACAATATTATTATAAATTCAGAAGCTATAGAGCATTACTATCCAAATAAAGATTGGTTTATAAATTATACAGAATATAAAATCCCAAAATATACTAATATAGTTAATAGAGAATCTATATTAGTATTAGGATATAGGGATATTCCTATTATTATAAATAATAAAACAATATTTATTCGAATGGTCAAACATATTTCAGACCTAAAATCAACATTAATAAGCACTAAACAAACCGCTAAAAAGGATTGAGCAAGCAAAATACTACTCTTTGAAAATATATATAAATTTTCGAATAAATCTCTTAATATAAAAGCGAATACTAAATGACTTAATAATATATTCTATTTAGAATATAATATAAATTTTGATTTATTAAATCAAAATAAGAATATTATTTATAATAATAATAAAGATTCTAAAATAAATCAAATAAATAAATCTAAAAAAGAATCTAAATCTAAAAAAGAATCTAATAATACAAATCTAAAAGATTTAGACTTATGGTATAAGTATCTAAATTATATTAATAAAGATTATATTATAAAAATATTAAATCTAAAGAATTCTAAAATAGATTTAAATCATTGTGAAGTCTGTATATATAACAAAATAACTCAAAATATTAGTAAATCTTTATCGAATTTGAAATTAAACAAATTCAATAAAA